TTTACACGATGATTTCTTGGATTTTTTTTTATTATCTCGCACTATCTTGCTTACGCGCTTTTTTCATCAAACTCACGCGAGACATCTTCTAGCAAACTAAACCTTTGAGACATTAATAATCTCACATTAAGCTGTCTGAAAGGGTTACGAACTACAATGGGAATGGAACAATAGAAAACGATGGAAGTAGACGATAGAGCTAAGTAGAGGAAAGTAGAAGAAAGAATCAGTAAGAAAGAAGAAAGGAGAAACTATCATCCTAATACAATCCGGTTCTCTAGCGAAGCTCGACGTGACGTTAAGTGATCCTTGGTAAAGGATATCTCTAAAAGATCACGCGACTTGACTATTTCTTGATTAAACTTTCAATAAAAAAAAAATATATATAACTTTTATTCTTATGTTCTATTTTAATTGCATCTTGCTATAAGATGCATATTATTTAATTATTATTTAGAGGAAAAATATTAGGTAAATTAATAATTGTTTAAAAAATTGGAATAAAATATTAATTGAGAAATAATTAAAAGATTAATATAATAAGAGTAACGGTAAATTTAGAATTTGTGTCCTGAAAAAGTGATCCTCGATAGATCATATCTGTAATAAATGACATGTCCAAGAAAAAGGATTGAATAGAAAAAGACGGAAGAAAGCGTTGTTACAGGAAAAAAGTAGAGTATTCTGTTGATAGAATCCATTGTTTTACTTATCGATTACGTGTTTCCGTGTAGATTAAATTGTAGCGATTTAAATTATTTGATCGCGCTTTACGATTAAATCAAGATATGACTATCGCTTACATTTAATATGTCACAGAAAAATAGAACATTCTAAAATTTCTTTGCAAATTGTCGTTGCAATTTTATGATTTTATTCTAAATATAGAATTAATTAAATTTTACAACAGAAACAAACGCAATTACTTTTTGTTTTTGCAAACATTTTCGTAATGAAGTTATTCTATTATATCATAACTTTATCAGAAATCCAGTTATATATCTTGATTAATCTTGTAATCTTGTGATTTTAATCCCGATTAAAAATAATATAAGTGTCACATAGTTTGATTTTTTTCCAATATCGAAGGAAATAGTTAAAGAAGGACATTTGTTTGTGAAGGAAAAAAAACGTGAAAAATCTCATTACGCAAGGAAGAAATTCACAGTCGTATTCTGGCATTTTCATTCAAAGCACAGAGGAAAGTCGCGTTTTCTCCCGCGATTCGGAAAAGTAATTAAACCGGTTGTGCGCTTAAATGACGCCATTATAATCTCCCGAGAAGCGAAAAAGAAATCATAATAACGAAGCATAATAAGTTCGCTAGAGAATTAACAGGTGATGTAAAATCTAGTTTGATTCGTGTAATGTCTGTTAGAAATTCTTTTTTTTCTTTCTTTTTCCATGTATGCGCTCAACGATTATATAAAACAAATATATAAAAAGTGAAACTGATTACGAATAATTTTTTGAGATTGTCCCGTTTTTAACATGCATGATGTTGTTTGGGTTAATAAACATTTCGCATTCTTCTAAAAATGAAAATTAGAACCATCTTTAAAGTAAATATCAAGTATGTATTCTTTATTGCCAACAACGATAGATTATTACGATATCTAAAATGATTTCTATATATATATATATATATATATTTAAATTGACAATAAAAAAAGACTAGAAACGAGATGGATTGAACTGTTTTTATTAGTACTAGAGCAATATATCGAATATTTGACGAATCTCATACACACGCACACATACGCAACCTACCTCATCCTTTTTCAACGTCAGTGCAAACGGAGGAATGTTACGAGTAATTTATTTGAAAAATGTCATCAAAGGGATGTGGTTAATTCTGACGGAGCTTTTCACGGTTTATTGCCTCAATGTGTACTGAGAAGTCCATGTGACATTTTCGGTTGACTGATCGAGCATTTGGTGGAACAAACTAGATCACTTTGCACGATTAATGATTACACGTATTATTAATTATAAATATCTTGCAACATTTTTCGAGCAAAACACGATCGCAAGGCATTTTCTTACTAGAAGAAAAGTACACGTTGAAATAAATTTTAATATTTTAAGATAAATATCTCTTTTTTAATAACTTCTTTATTAAGTAAATCTGAAAAATCGATCTTATAAAAATTTGAGTAATGATATTAGAATATTTAAATTATTCTTATCTTCAACATATGTATACAAAATTTGTGTATACAAAAGAAACTGACTTTTGTACTAAAGAATAGTTCATCATAACTTTTTTCGATTTTTAATTTCTCAGATTTCATTTTATCAAAAATTAATCGGTTAATCACATTGCGAATTAATTTCCTAGCGCAGTTTGCTTTTAACGCTGACAAACAGATTGGTAAATAAACTGCAACTCGACAAAGCCGCCATAATTACAATCGGCAAATCCTATTAGCACAAACCGTTCAATGACACAAAGTTAATCATGGATGTTTATGATGCAAATTAAAAATTGGAATAGAAGCGCTTGTATGTATTCTGCGTGATTGTATTCAACCATTGGGCGACTGTTTTTCGATGAACGCATCAAACACACTATCAACAACACGACAAATTTCAAATTTAAAGTTAAAAGCAGATTACTGTAAGTCAAACATAATCCATTGCTATTGCTATTTTAGAAATTTATATATTTAAAATAATGGTTTCATTGTTAAAAAAAAGATAAACTAATTAACAGTATAATACTTAAAATAATATTCTGAAAATAATTATTTGATAATAGGATTATATCCTTTTCGAAGAAATCAAATTGATACGTAAGTATATTGCAAAGAATGTGGAATGAACTCTCCCGGGCATCGAAAGCACGTCTTCAAATCGTTATAAGATTTTTACGAGGGTTACGGCCATTTTGTCGAATATAGGCAACCTGAGGGAATAGTGAAAATCCATGTCGAATAAGTTAGATAATGTAATAAAATTAACAAACCGCGATAGTAAGTCGCGGTTTCTTTTTGTAATATATTTTATCCATACACATATTATATAGTTATACATAGTTTCAACTTGATTCATATAAATCAAAACGAATTTAAACAGACATTTATGAAAAAACATTTTCTTTATTATTCAAAATATTTTAAAAATAGCAGTGTTATGCTGAAAAAATGTTGTGTATCCTTCACAAATATTATTCCTTGATGGTACAGATTATAGAATAGGAAAGATCTTTTACTCAATTAATATATAGAAGATTTTAATTAAATTACTTATATAAGAATTATAACATGTTTACATTGTATGATATATACATAAAAAAATTTGTTTTTCTAGAAAACCATTTTTATTTTTAAACAAGATACAACAATTATACTTAATACATTCTTTTGATAATTTAATTAATAATTATAAATACTATTTGGTACAAAAATGTATTAAATATCCATTATAGTACAAGGGATAAACCGCTAACCAAAATTATGTACACCAATGCTTAGTAATGCCTAATTTCTGACCGACCATAATGCCTCACGGATAACATCGTGAGAACAATCTTATTATTTAGTGTAATTTATTTAATATTCACACTTTATTACGTGTTGTAAATATGTGTGACATAAAATAATTGTCAATTGTTAAAAATAAAACGTAATAGTGCCCAGTAATGCCTAGCAATGCCTCGAATCTGTACAGCGCAATGCCCTTAGCGGTTTACCCCTCATTATAGTACCTATATATGTGCTTAAATGTGCGTGTATGCGTGCATCAGGGTATACACATATATAATAATAATCAGAATATATATGTATTATATAATACATTTATACAACTGAAAATATGTTTCAAATATATTTTACACTTTATATATTATATTTTACGCTTTAATTATTTTTTGAAATGTACAATTTTCATTACTATTACATTTCTGATTATTATTATAAGATCGCTATCCATAGGGTGCATAACGATCAGATTTTGCGTGACGAATTGTTTAAAATTCGCGCGTTTTTTTCATAGCACTAAAGGTTAAATAAATATCCATAATACAAAAATTCTAATTTAATAGATTTCATATAAACTAATTATATCTACGAAGTAATAATCTTAAACATTTTTTGCGAAACTAAAGAAATAAGAAATAAAAGTATGAGAAAAAAAAAGAGAGAAGAGAGAAAAAAGAGTGAGATAAGAAAGTGGGAAGGGAAAGAGAGAAAGCGCAGAAAAAAAGGTAGAGCTAGAGAAAATAGAAAAGAAGAAAGGAAAAAGAAGAAATAAAAAGAGAAGGAGAGATAGAGAAACAGAATCAAGATTATAATAAAATTTGTAAATATAAATTCAAAGTATTTATTGCATTTTTTTATAGCAGTTTTTTTTTAGATACACTGATAATAAGCAAAATTTGATCGTAATACAAAACTCAAACACAAAAAGCTACTTATAAAAAATTATAATAATTAATTTTACTTATTCTTATATATAGCAAACTTTAAAAATAATATTTAATATCTAAATAATATTTCTTTTTAATTTCGATCAGAATTTCAAGGACCTTATTATGAATATACTTAAATAATGAATATTAATTTACAGTATTACACATATTTAAATCAGCTTACAATATTCACTGGTAATTAATGTAAGATTGTTAATATAGTAAAATTCTAACAATCGCTTATTATTTATTGATAGGTGGATATAAATACATTTATCTATGCATTGATTACCTATCAACTCTGTTCCTTAAATCAAAGTATTATATAAATTGATAATAACTAACTTATTCTACTTTTATCGCATTTGGTTATAATTTAATTTTTGTTATCTGATTAATCAAATAATATAATAGTAGTACATATATTTGCTTCGATAAAACAGAATATAGTTAACTAACCGAGATATTTAAACTAATTAAGGATAGATACACTCATATGTTGTAACAAATAAATTAGTTTCCTTCGTCACATTCAATTTTTCTTTCTCTATAACAAATTATTAAAATTAAAATAATAATTAAAATAATTTTCTTGCATTTATATAATATATCATTATTAAATATTTTTATAAATTGACGTGTGCGTTGTTAATTACATTTTCAATGTATTACTGAAACTTAATCTTTCATAACAAATTTGATAGCAAAATGGTTTGGAATTTGGGTGGTCTATAAAAATTTTGATGCAGAATCCGTAGATAAATTTTCAATGATCTTTGCAAAAGGCTTCACTCTCAATTTACCAATTTTCTCATTCTCCTTTTTGTGATCGAGCGTAGTTACTTCGGTTGCTCCTTGATCTGTTGTATTTTTAATATTCACATCATCTATAGTAATTGTTTCAGGAATTGTGCTTCTTCTGTTAATGTTCGTCTGTGTTATTGGAGGATTACACACGTTATTCATTTTTGTCATCTCTTCAGAATTTGGAATATACACATAATATGTATGAGAGTTTCTTAAATGCTTCTTATACTTAGTCTCATCGAAAAAGGTACATGGACACAATAAACATTCTATCATAGAGGCTTTCTGAGTTTGATTCACCTGTGGGATAGTTAATTCATGAGTACGAACGGAAATGATGGAATCTGCATGAGCATATTTGAGATGAGCCTGGAAGAACATCAAAGATGGATATTCTAGCGGACACAATGGACATGAATAACCATGATCATAATTGTTCACTGATACAGATTTCTGATTTGTAATTTCATTGCTTTTCCATGATTGTGGCATAACATCTTTGAATGTTGATAAAGGTTTACTCGAGAAAAGATATACAGGTGCTATTTTTGATTGATTAATTATTACAGATCTATTCGATGATGAGTTAGCTTTAAATTCATTGACTGATCCAGATTTTAAAGGATTTTCATAACATTTTCTTCCGAGATCCTTAACAGATCCAGATAGAGAAATTAAAGTGTTATTTTTGGATGCAGTATTTGGTACGACAGTTTTAAATATTGTCGATCCAGAAGATAGAGGAACTGAAGTGTTATTTCCTAATTCAGTGCTTGGTACGTCAGTTCTAGTTGTTGATCCAATGGATGAAGATACTGAGATATTCGTTTTTGGTTCCGTATTTGATGCAATAGTATTACATGACAAAACATTGTCTTTAGATCTGTCAATACATGGAATTGCAGTCTTTTCTGTATTTTTATTTGTTGAATGTACAGCTCTAAATTGCTTTAATAATTCAGTAGTTTTAACACTTATTCCATTTTTAGCCATAGTATTATTTAGGATAATTTTAGATTGTTGAATCATTGAAGAAGTCGAGTTTTGAAGAAGTTGAGCTGTTTTCTTTTCAGATGACGATGCTAATGACGATGATAACGATGACGATGACGATGGTACTTGAACAGTTTCAACAAATTGTTTCTGTATATCAACGTTATTAATAATGGGAAGACTAAGTTTTAAAGTAGTTCGTTTAGCTATCATATCATCCATATGAACGTAAACAATGTGTGTTTGGACAGCGTTTGAAGTGGAAAACTTCATATCGCAGAATAAACAATCGTACTCAGTATTAGATGTATTATTCTTAGATTCATGTGGACGTTCTATTATCTTGTATGTAATATTCGAAGATGATGACATTTGGCCACTATTATCCGTATTATTGTTGGTAATATTTGAATGGAAGTGTTTTTCATGACACTTCAGTGCAAAAACAGTTTCCAGAACTTCGTCACAAATATGACATACATGTCCATTAAAAATATCCCGATAAAAGTGAGTTAATTTTTTATGTTGATCAAGTAAAAAAGAAGTTTTGCATCGTCTGTTACACTTGTCACATTTAAAATCGCCGTCATTGGAATAACATTCTTTGTGCTTTATCATATGAGCCATATCTATACATTTCACCTGACAAATTTGACAAGTATACTTGTTGGACAACTGTTCATTTCGTTTTTGTTGATTCGTGGGAAAATTTTTAATCTGTTCTTGGACGTTGAATGAATTACAGTTTCTATCTTCAGATTCTTTTGTAGTTTCAATTAAATTCACTTCTTTCGAATGAACATGCACAGTATGCGAATAAAAATGTGACTCATGATTAAATCCCTCATTGCATATATCGCAGATATAATTATATGACTTGCGTTTATCCTCTGGACAATGTATAAGTTTATTATGATGATGATACATATACATTCCTTGAAAGTTTTGTGCACAAATGGAACATTTGAATGTATGATTATTGTAATAATACATCCGATGTTCTACGTAGCGATCATGAGTCTCAAATACCAAATTACAAATGTTACATGTTATGACATGAGTAATTGATTTATCGGATTTCTCTTGACTCATATTAGGATTACGTGTGAGCGTGTTGAGCACTTGTTGACCATGTAAATGTAATATATGAGGCCGAAGATCGTGTTTTTTAAAAAATCCTTGGTTACAGAATACGCAATGAAAATTGTAAGTCTTTGAAATCTGTGGTACATGTGCTGCAGTAATATGTGTCTGTAGAAGACGTTTAGAACTGAATCCAGTGCGACACATTGGACAAATATCGGTAGTAACGCTAAAACAGCGTATATGTAGCTCCAAATTTTTGGGATTGTGAAATTGCTTTCCACATATATCACAGGGATAAGTCATACTTTTTGTTGTAATGTCATTCAGTTGCGTATTTGCGCTGTTCTGATTACTAATTGTGGAACTATTATTTTCTAAAAGCTTTTTAGGGTCTTGTGATTCATTGACAGATTCAATTTTATTCTCAATTGAGTTATTATTAACAAGAAATTTTCGATTAGCTTCATTAATTTCTTCATTTAGTTTCAATTCTGTTTCACTATGAAGTGTTTTTTGATATTTATTTGATTTTTTTACGGAGTCGCTATTTGAAGGTTTAGATAAATCATCCGAATTAATGCTTTCATCACATGTAATTATATTTTCATTAGTTTTCTTCTTGTGCTGTATCTCAGAAATATCCGTTGAGTATGCATTTGTTTCTTCCATGAAATTTTTCTCATCCTTCATTTCTTCTTGTACTGTGCAACAACTTTGATGTGCTATTAAAGATGATTGCGACGAGAATGTCTTGTTGCAATGAAGACGTACAATTGACTTACAATTTTTTTTTATCAAGTTACATTTTAATTCAATATCTACCGGATATTGGTCGTCCTCTCTTTTAATATACTTCAGACAATGAACATTTAAGTGTTGTTTCAGCGCTTCATAATCGGGTAATAATATAAAACAAATGCAACATTGATTTTGTTTAAATAGATGTTCGCGTAGATAATGTTCAAGTAATTTATGCTTTAGCGTATATCGTGCATCACATATGCTTGACATATATGCTATATGAGACGACTTAATATGTACGCGTTTAGCCAATTTTGAAGAAAAACTTTCCTTACAAACTTTGCATAAAAAATAATTGTTATTGTGTTTGTTGGTGTCCAATGTTTCTGTTTTTATATCTATAGTTGGAATAGCTGTTAAACGTTCCAGAGAAACCTCTAAGTTTTTAAATGTCATTTTATTTCGTACATCACTTTCTTGATCCAACGTAGTTGGTTTGAAGTTGCATTGAGTAGTAATAAAGGAAGTGTTTTCTATGGCTTCAATTGTAGAAATCGTGTTAGAATTTCTTGGTTGTTCATCACATTTTATTAAGGGAATTGTACATCCTTTGCACTTGAAATCCATAATCATTTTCCGACCTACTGTAGGATCTACGTTGTCTGAATCAATCACATTCTGTTCCTTTTTAATACTGAATTCTATGTTTGACGGAGACTTCTTAGATACATTTTTATTCTTCCTTATTTCCGAATTTGAACTTGTTTCCACGGAAGAAACTCCATTTAAAGATCGTAAATTATAGGATATTCCGCGATCATATGAAACAATGTCACTTGTTCGATCTTCGCTCACTTCCACGGAAGAAACTCTATTTAAAGATCGTAAACTGTAGAATATTCCGCGATCATTTGAAACAATGTTCTTTGTTCGATCTTCGGTCACTTTATCTTTGACAACCGTATCAGTAAGATTTTCGAGAAAGGATTTCATCATTTCAACATCCGCATGTAGTTTTACAAATGGTTTTTTACGTAAACATATTTCAGGTTTCACACTTTGTTTCTGAATAGAACTTGCCATTTGTTTTGGGATATTATCTGGGATATTATCTTTATTTGTAGATAAAGAATCAAATTGTCCATTTTGCTCTTCGAAAAGTTTTAGTCTTGGATTTTCTTCTATTTCAACACGATCTAAAGTACACGTTGGAGACTCATCTTTCATAATATTCAATTTATTTGGATTGAGTTTAATATCACGTTTCTTTTTGCAAAGATCAAGGTATTCCGTTAATGTTGGTTGTCGTAATCTTTTAGTTGGCGTCATTTCATTATTGAATGTTTTTTCAATCTTTGATTGTTCAGTATCTATTACACTATCGTCGCAAGATTTATTAATATTATTTGTAAGTGTAATATTTATTTTTTCTGCTTTTATGAGATTATTTAAACATAACGATTCTTCATTTGCATTAGTTTTTAAAGTATTATCTTTAGGAGATGTATTTACTTTATAGATCTCGGATTTCGAAATTTCGCGTAGTTTACTAGTATTTGTTATCGTGCTATTAAAACATATTAATTCATTGTGTACATGAAACAAATGAGATTGTAACAATATCTTATCATAAAAAATCTGACTGCAAAAATTACAATTATATTCATACATACGCACAATATATAGACGGGGAGACTGACACGTATGAGACTGTAATTTCTCGCGTGTTATATAATGCTTATCACAAAACCTACAATAATTATTTTTAACAAATTCGTAATATTGTTTATGAGTTTCACAATTTCGAACAGAAGAGAACTGTCTAAAACAAATGTCACATTTTGCATTTTCTTTTTTTACCAATTTATATTGTCTTTTTGTTTTATAATCTAATCTGACGCTGTTTTGTTTTTTATTTTTCCTAACATTCTCCGTTATACATAATGCGCTAGTGTTTTTATTGTTAGAGATTTCATTGGAACATTTTTTTCTTTTTTTTGCTTTTTTACGCTCTATATTAACAGTCTTGATTTTGTCGTTTGAATGTGCATTATGACTATTTGATGCATCTCTATTTTCTGTACTATTTATGTCTTTACATGAATTATCATTTTTAGATAATGATTTATCGCGATGATAATCGTGATCAATTAAACTAAAACAATTTCTAACTATAGTATTATCTTCAGTTGTATCAGGATTCGATGTTGTATCGATGGGCTCATTCTTAATCTTCGTCCCATTTTGGATTTCTATGTCAAGCTGAAAAATATATAAATTAATCTTCGTAAATTTGCTTCAAGATGAATCTTTTAATTTTCAATCTTAGAAAAATAAAAAAATATAATCTCAAAAAACAAAATGTAGCCATTAAGGCGATCCTAAACTGGAGATCAGACTCCAAAAATGAAATCTTTGTCGGTAAAACAAACGACTCCAAAGTCCAGCATCGCCTTTAAGCTAAAGGCAATGCTGAACACAGATCTGTTTTACCGATTGAACGTGATTATTTTCGGATCATCCGTTCTTTTTATTGATTTGACTTTTTATTAACTAGAAGTATAAATCTTTTTTAAAGGGACCCTAGAGACTAATCTGTTTTACCGACTGAAAAATTTCGCATTACGAAATTACGAAAAAGTACTTTCGAATGCGTAATATTTCGGAAATAAAGTCCCAGCATTCTCGAAAAGTGAATTTAGCACAAACACGCATCATAAATTGTATACTCGCGGTGCAGAAAAGTGGATTTTGATATGTAGTTTACATCCACTTCTTTAGGGGGGCGTTAATGCACGAAGGCATTTTGAGGCAAAAGGCCGTCGTGTCCTCGCTCAGGTTTCTCTTCGGTGAAAGTTAGGACACTGGCCATTAATAGGGAAAATCCTTACAAGAAAGAATGAGATAGAAGAGATAAAGTGAAAAAGCAATATCTATTTTATTCTATCGTTCTATTGCTCTCTCTCTCTCTCTCTGTCCATTACTTGTTCCCTATTACGTATGGCATAAGGAATCAAAATCGTCACTCGGTGTTTTAACCACAAATTTTTACATAACTGAAGTACTCACTTCATCGCCGTATCATTACTAATACCCCCAATTAGGCTGCTAGTTTTAGATCCATCTATTCACACATACATAAATCTCACGTGCAATCATTGCTTAAGTCAAAATTTGTCGTAGTCATTGAGAAAAAAGAAATAGGAGGGATATATATGGTTCTGGGAGGGGTGTATAGTTTTAACTAAGCGAACGGAAGTTTGATATATATATATATATATTAACATAAAGTCGCTCAAGATGGCCGCTCAAGAGTGTCAATCATAGACAATATATTGTCTATATGCTCGCGCGCTTTTCCCCCATTTTACTGATAAATGGTAAAAAAAGTGGTCGCTTAAGATGGCTGCCGTGGTTCCGTCTGCGGAACAGTCTACAAGAAGAGACTTGTCAACTCGTTACGTGATTATTAGTGAACTCTGATTGACTGAGGTACGGATCGCACAATTGTACTCCATGAAGCCATACTATAACCTATTTTGATAAGGTTAAGTTAATAGTTAAATCGGAGCACAATTGTGCGATCCATATCCCAGCAAATCAAGAGCCTAGCAGTTACATGACGAGTTGGCAAATCTCTTCTTATAGGGATCTGTACCTTTGAGAGTCTCTAAAGGCCTTTACACATAAAATCCCTTAACATCGAACTATAATACAACTGGAATGGGCACAAGGGATAGTGTGTTCCAAGAGATAGTGCGGTACAGTTGTATTAATAAGTTCCTTCATCTCCTAACCGATGGTTTCCCTGATAGCACACACAAATTGCACACACAAGGTTTTTGCAACATCCTAGATAGATTGCAGTAATGTCAGAATGTCCGTTTAGGTTAAATTTGTAATAAGTTACAAATTTATAATCTAAGCGGACATTTTGACATTACTGCAACCTATCTGGGACGTTGCAGAAACCTTGCGCAATTTATGTGCTATCAGGGTTTTAACCATGTTCGGATCTTTTTCGACCAACTAAACAATCTCGAAGATGTTTTACATCCATAGACGGAACACTTTTACGATTATTAAAAATGTATTTTACAACATTCGTTTCAGTTTGTGTCACTCAATTAGTTTTTGACTGGGGCAGTACCAATAGGACTGAATGTGCAGAAAATAGATAGGAAAAGGATAGCGCACGCGCATTACAGACGCCATTTTGTGATGCGTGGCCAGACTCTATCTTCTAGAGACACTATCTCGGGATAAAGAGCCTCTAATCAGAGTGGCACCATAGCCATTTTTTCCAAATCCCGCGAGAGAGAAAGAGAATATATATCACCCAGTCTATCCAATAGTCTATCTCAGTCTATCTAACACAAAATTATCTACCAATCAAAAGTTATAGCTGTATGGCGCCACTCTGATTAGAGGCTCTCTACCTTGGGACTGCTTACAGCACCACCGAGTAGCGATCATTGATGTTTATTCCCTCCTCTATGAGTTAAATCTCTTAATTTTACTTTTTATGCTTTCACCAAACCGTCATTAAAACATCTTTTTTCTGAGTAAATTTTATTTTCGTAAATAATTAAATAATAAATTTTCTATTATTAATGTTTATATATATATATATACCTATATATATATAATGACCACGTTTACACATCACCATGAGGCCCGGAGCACATAAAATGCATAATGTGGCATAAGCATAGCATAAGGCAGCTAGACCAATGAGAATCTTATGTAAATTAGTATGACGACTTTATGCTGGCTTCTCATTGGTCTAGTCGCCTTATGCTATGCTTATGCTTCGTTATGCATTTCATGTGCTTCCGGTCTTAATCTTAACATCCATTGAACTATAATACAACTGGAATGAGCGCAGTTTACGATCTGTACTTTATATTATATACACTCTTTGCACTTAAAATGAAACAGATATATATTTGAAAAATTGGTGCAAACGAGAGAGAAAGTTTTAAGTGCAGAAACGAAGATAGTTTGGGAATGTGCCGAGAGAGAGGACCGAAACTATTGCTATCCTTTCCTTACATACTTTCTGCGTATACTCAGCTCTCGTTGCCTCCCTTTGGTACCCCAGTCAAAAACTGATTGAGTTGGAACACAAATCTAAAGCGATTGTTATAAAATACATTTTTAATAATGTTAAGTGTGTTGCGTATGTTCTATGGATGTAGAACATCTTCGAGATTGTTTAATTAATCAAAAAAGAATAGTTAGAAGGTTAAACCATTGACTATGAAATGAACGAACTTTTTGATATGACCGCACGAGCAATTATCTATCTCTCTCGGCATGCTTGTCTATTCCAGTTGTATTATAGTTCAGTGGTAACACCCGTGGTTATTAAGTATTGCACTATCAGTGTTAAGCCTTAAACACAATGAAAGGAACAGGGAACAGAGAATAAGAATTTCAACCTATCAGAAACCATGTATTCCATACTATACAGTTTCCGATAGGTTAAAATTCTTATTCTTTGTTCCCTGTTCCCTATTTCTCTTCAATGTGTTTAAGGCTTTTTTTCAGCTTACTGTTCATCAGATAAAACAAGAATAGAATGACGCAATAACGCTAATAGCGCACTCCCCGAATGCAGCCAACGTGAATGATAATCTTAAAATAATATCCTAGTTAGGCTTAGTTTGATCGATCGATAACATTTAAGAATTGCGAACTGCAAAACTTAAAACTATTATTTTGTTTTCCTTGTTCATTTTCGGTAAATTATAATTTATTTATATAAAATATAATACTTTTTAAAATTAATTATTAATACGTTTAATTGTATCCCCCATTCGTATCCTCCAGGCAACTTTTCTTTTATTTTCTTCCATCCCTTCTCCTCTATCCATGTTTCCAATAGCACTATCACCTCCCATCTTTTCAGCCCCTTCCAGGATATTCCATATCCTTGTTTCCTAATCCCGCGACATTCCAAAAAGTATACTCCGGTAAAATCAGGTTATAAGAGATAAATATTTTAAATTTTGTAGTTAATAATTAATCGGCCAATTAAATTAATCGGAATAAATGGTAAAATCGCTCCTTAATCCGTTTTATAACATCAGTTATTATATAAACATAAAAATTATTTAAGAATAAGATGTTTTAATGACGATTTGGTGGAAGATACGATCCCAGCATATTTATGATATTGGAGTGTTCCTGAGGCATAGTGTCACTCGCGCGATCGGCGGCTCGGCCGTCAAGCCTGAAGCGGTAGTGGGGGATAATAGGCGTCGCCTCAGAAATGCCGAGCATGTCTCATGGCTTATTAAGGTTTACTACACCTATTGTAAATCGAGGTTACTTGAATGATTCACAATGTTGCAATGGTACAATAGATATCTGCATGTAAAGTTATCTTACGTTTTCTACCATACCGACTATTGCAAATCGTATTGTAGGTAAATGCCAATATCTAGCATTGAAATATAAATAGTTAAATAATCGAATAAAGAAATAAAGTTGATTAATATGTCTATACATCAATCACACAGATAATTATCTAATGCATAACCATAGTATTTTCTGAATGCATTGGCTAATACACATTACTTATACATTGGATCATGTTATTCATGTAACCTAACCTATTAGTTAAAATAATTTTATGGTTATTTTATTTTAGACTAAAGTCTAATTCTACATTTGAACAATTATCAATTATGTTAGGTATATCATTAATTGCCAATATTAGATATTATTTTCATAGATATGTTTATGATGTAATTCAAAGTATTCTCAGTCAAATGGCCTGTAAATATTCGCCTTATCGTTTTACGGATACTTGGCATGATACAATCATGTCTCTTGATACTGAATTGAGTAAAGAATTTCTTTAGAATATAGAAAAAGAAAAATAATTGAAGATGATTATATTCAAAAGACAAAAGATAATTTAAGAAAGCAGAAGAAGAAAAACTGCATGATTGAAAAATGTCAAATGTATGATGTATGTAAAAAAGTACTTACTACAGGACTTGTATGTATGACTACAGCATCCACAACTCTTTCGTATGGTTGAACTCTAGCCATGTCAGAATGCTATCAGTACTTCTTCTGTAACATGTTAAATTATATACATTATATTATAATATAATATAATATAATATATTATTACATCGAGTAAAAGCAATATTTTCAAGCATTTATCTAAAGAAATAAGTTAATGTTAAAATTTAATATATGTAAAAAAATTGACAGCTATGTAAATGTTATGTATTATCATTATATAAACGTTTCAACGCTTCAAAAGGTGGAGAGGTGTTTTGATGAAAAATATAATATATAGACTTATATATAGGCTTAGCCATCTGAACTCGCAAGAGTACATTCAAGATATAAATATATATATATATTTATAAATATTGCATTATGAGTGATAGTTATTTGGAAAACAGTAATGCTATTATGATGCACGAGTATTTAGAAGCACACATTTGAAGATGCTCGGATACCTCTGCAATTTCAAAGGGCTAGGCATTTTTGTTCTCGTATGTTATACATGATACACACTGTACAATACGAAATTTAGTAATCTATAACATTTAAATAGAATGCAATAGGAATATATTAATGCAATAGAAATATATTATATGCACTGAATTCAATATAATTTTCAAAATATGTCTTGTGCTTGGAAAAAATGAATATTTTATCATAAATTATATATAAAAATTTCACATAACATTAAATTTACATTTAAAATAAAATAATATTAACCTTGAAACATTGATAATAATGTACCTGAATACAAACGTATTAAACGGTTGATAGAAGAAAAGTCAGCAATTATAATTTATATTGATTAAAAATCACTGATTGCACATGCCTACGATTACATTTGTCGAAATAGTACAGTATTTCGTTTTGCATGGAATGCAAATTAATCACCGAACAATTCACGAGTAATTCGTTCGCAATCACAGAACATATATAATGTTCGCAATGCTGACTACACAATCACCAAGCTAAAGCTGTTATGTTACACAAAATGGCGGCCATGTTCGGACACGACCGACACGACGCATCTGGTGGTACCATGAAGACTAGAATCAGGAGACCCAACTCACATGGAGGGGATAAATATTCATGTCCATAAAACATCGCCACTTGGTGGCGCTGTAAACAATCTCAAGGATTTATAACTGTCAATTTGGAATAAAAGTAAAAACATAGTTATGTATTTGTATCAAAAATATTTTCAAACATTTTTTATGATTCTTATCTGCTACAGTATATTATATTGGTTGTATGGATAGGAGCATAGAGTTTTGCATAATGCTATATAATTACATAACGCATAAAATTCGTTCTGTATGTACGTTGTCGGTGTCATAAACTGTGAGCCATAAGAATTGACCAATCATAGTGGAATATTTTCCTTAGGGGCTTTCTACAATAAGCCGTTAGTCACTACTCATATCATACTAACTAAGAATTGACCAATCATAGTCAAATATTTTTCTTACATTCAACTGTGATTGGTCAATTCTTACGATTTACGGCTTACGATGTGACGTACGACGTATTGTAGATAGCCCCTTACATTCCACTGTGATTGGTCAATTCTTATGACTTATGGCTTACAACACCGACATATAACGTATTGTAGAACGAATTTAAGATATAAGAGAATTAACCAATCAAAATATGAAATGAATATGAAAAAGGACTTTGATTGATTGATTCTTTTATGCCTTATTCGTTAGCTCTGATCTACAATAAATGTTAAGTCTTAATTTGTAGAAAATTGACCAATCAGAGTCGATTATTCTCCTCCACTAAAATATAATAATACTGGAACGCGCGCGGCCCTATGCCGTCTTTGTTAAGACAGGATTGCCACAGATCTGGAAAACCGGGAAACGTTAGGGAAATTTAAACTGGTTAGGGAAAACCTGGAAAAGTCAGAGAAAAATGTAAAAGAGCATAGAAAAGAGCCTGGAATTTTGAACTTTTCTTACAATTTTCTTAAAGGGATCATTTATTTTATCAACAAAATTCAATAATTTTTGTACAATGTTTTTGTATGTATTGCTTTTTTTATTTGAAAATCTTTTTTCAGAATTAAACAATAGATAATAACAGAATAAGATGATTTTGTATGAAAAAATTTTCGAAAATTGTGATTTTGTTCGAGACTTCTCTTTGTTATCACAATCGAAAATATTCTGAATATTTATTCCTTATATATCCTTATATATATATATATATATATATAATGCCGCCTTTCGCCGATAACAGATAAATGATTTGCATAGATTATGACGTCACAACGCGCGACAAAGGGATCTTTTTTACGCTCGTAAAGTCGCACTTCCCGCTGTAACGACTTCGGAAGCGCGGCTCACACGCAAAAAGAATTTAACGCGCGCTGGCTCTCGCGCGCGTCGCGCACACCACGGGCGCGTCCCCATTATCTTCGGGCGTGCCCGAAGAAGACGCCTCCGGCGGTTCTCACCGGGCGACGAGAAAGACAAGACAACGGTAAGCGGGGTATATATGACGGTGTGTACACACTTTGGGAACAGTTATATTCGCGCACGTACCAACGACCCTTATTTATGTCGTCGCCGCCGCAGCCATCGTCGACGGCGCGGCGCGGACCTACACACCGGTCGTCCTCCTCGCCCTTTTCTCGCCCTTCTCTGCCACCGCCTCGTTCTCTCTCTCTCTCTCTCTTTCTC